CTCTCTCTCTCTCTCTCTCTCTCTCTCTCTCTCTCTCTCTCTCTCTCTCTCTCTCTCTCTCAAACTTCAAATTTATTCCTTCTACAATATGTACTTGTTAAAAAAAAAAACAGTCCTCACAGTGGCGCGCATGCATTTTCGATCCCCATTGTGGTTTACAGAAGCGCGGAACAATGTGAACGGTGTCCACGATAGTGTCGGTTGAAACGACGCTGCTGTGCTGATGTTCATTCGCCTTCTCCCATTTCAATTCCTTGCAACCTGTCACGTGTTCCCGTTCACTGTCAACCTCTGTGTACCACTGCACAAAAGCTCACTTGTGTTCCACATTACCGCCGTCTGTGGGTGCATCGACGACGACAAACATGGCCACTGATGCGAACCATGTACATTCGTTGGCTGCTCTTATTGCGACGTCGCTGTGCACTGGTCTCTCGTGGAACCGCGGCGACGCTCGTGCAGTTTGAACAAGTGTGCCCTTGTTTGTTCCGTCCTGCGTGCAAGCGATGGCGAGATGTGTTCGTGTGTGTATAGCGAGATCATCAGGAGGAGGTTGACAACCATTCTCCGCCATGTACGTCGTAATCACTGCTCGAAAATCGGTTATGAAAGGGAGCTCTTCAAGAATCTTACACGCATGACTGTCAATGCCTTCCACCTCGCATATCTGGTCCTGATTGATGTCGAACCAGCGCAGTTGAAGGATTGACGTATCGCGTAGTGCCAGGGTGTTCATCCCCGTTGCCATACAGTCCGTCATAGAAGACCTATTCTCGACGGCCCTCTTCCTCCTTTTCCTCACAAATCCAGTCTCCTCTTGCAACGCCAGCGACCGGCGCACGTGGTTGACGATCTGGGTTGACGCTTTCCTTTTGTTCGATGACATGTACGGTTGTTTGCAGAATCTCCTGTGGTGATGCTCCCAAACGTCTGCAGCGAATGTGTCGGCCACACCATATCGCTCAATACTCGTTCTCATATGCATAAGATCATGCATCTTCGGGAGTTTCCAATTTGATGGTTGGCATCTTCCCAATTTCGCTTTGATGATCGTTACGAAATCCGTCATCAACGCGTCACATTCGTCGAGGGAAGCTCGAGTGTGTGTTGTGCGCCGAAACAACCGTACGTACATTTGTATCAGCTTAACAAAACAAGCGGTAATGCCCTTGTCTGTCGAGCGCGGGATTATATTAAAAATGAGGAACACGCACACTGTCATCACAAACCGGTTTTACTTCGCCTCGAAGCGTCCCTCTCGAGAAAAGAAATCGCTGCCTGTGGCCACGAGCAACACAAGTTGGGGATATGTTCGCGTACATCTCTCACTAATGCATTGCAATCTCGCATCGAGTTCCTTCAGGATCTCTGTTTGCGGTGTGTTCGACAACTTCTCAAAGGTTGCCGCCCTGAATGCGTCGATCATGTGCAGGAATATGCCGTGTTCGATCGTGTGCATACGGTCTGGTTGCAATGCGAGGTGGTAGTCTAGTTGAGGATCATCGCCACTCGGCCCCCTGTAGAACCCCCAAAGACCGTTCTGTTCAACATGCCTATGCATGTCAAACTCCGCCATTCGCCCTTCCGCCGCACGACGCACGTCATCGTCGTCCACCGTGAACACAGCTGCTGCAAGTTGAGTTTCCAGCGTCTGGGATCTCCTGCTGTCCGTGAAATCGGCCACGACATCGAGGTCCGTTTTCGACACGGTGCATGTAGGGCATACACCAAACTTCACATTCGCCAGCACACATCGCTCTGGGTAGTCCTGTATATAGTTGAGGAGGAAAAGGTGGACAGTCACGTCCCCGAATCGCGTCGACGGTATCGTGATGCCATCGTGCGATGCCTCCTTCGCAGCTTGCAAGACCGTCGAAAGGGCCTTGTGGAAGATGACGGCCTTTCGCCTCCTGAATGCGGTGGACTGTAGACCCCTTCCTTTGTCACGGGGTCGATGATGAAGCACGGGAAGATAGACCAGCAGAGTGGCTTCCGACGCGTGGTCGGCTAGCGACATCATAAGAGGGTATGCCGTTTGTTTCTGACGACCGTCTGTGTGTGTCTTGTCGGAGTACAGTGAGAGAGGGATTACATATCGTGAATATCCATTCTCGTCGTCACCTTTGTGCGCTCGAATGATTGACTGCGTGTGATAACTGAGCGCCCCGCTGTGCGGACCGGATACACTGTTGTCCTCCGACGGCGGGGACACCTCGAGGGAATGAACCGTCTCGCATTTCTGCAACGCGACGTGCATTATTGATAAGAATGCAGTTCGCCAATCGCGGTGCCACAAGACGGCGTGCGCTTCTCGAGGCCAGTCGTCACTACGTAGATCCAACTCCTTCCACCCAGCGGCCTCTGCTAGACTGCCCGCCCATGCGAAGCACTCTCGACTGTTGCGGTACGCAATGTCCGTCTCGCTGAATCTCGGATCTTTGAGAAGTGACAAGAGAGCATCAACGTCCGTATGTGACATACCGACGCCGCCCCTGGCAGAGAAAATAAGCACTGCTAGCCTGCGCGAGCTGTCAAAAGGCTCGACGGGTTGCGCTGCCAGCTCTGCGTTATCACCGGCTGCCCCATTCGCGTCGTCCTCCGCCCCCGCGTCCTCGCTCTCATCACCAGCGAGATTGGTTGCGCCTATGTTGGATGGTCCCGGGTCTTGGGCAGCATCATTCTCCTGCCTTTGCGCTCCCTCATCCGCCACGGCGGGGCATGCCCTCGCACGATGCGAGTTTAAAGTCCGTAAGGACATGAAAGGTCTGCCGCAGTCGCACACCCGTGGACCGCTGTCCATTTCCTGTACACGCAGTGCATTCCAAAGACAAACAGAGCGAAGCGGACAGTGTTTCGTTAGCATTTTAGACATATGGTCGGGGCATGTGCACTACATAATGCTTACCATGTTTTCTTATGCAGTGTGAGTGTTGCACGTTGTGGAAAATGCGTCTAAGCATGTGTTTTCCACGTATCCGTCGTAATCAGTGAGATTGCCCATACGAGCCAAGCTCTGACTCACTTTCCC